TAGTTGTTATTTATGCATCGTTTTTTAACGATCTCTTTTCGTTTTCCTGGAAGTCCGTGCGATCCACGGAGACACAAGGATTTTTAATAGAAACAAATGGTCTCGTGGTTGACGAGGAAGCGCAGCTAGCGAAGCACTCCGATTTAAACACCTTTCCACTCGAGTAATGGAAGGCAGGGGCGACTAGGTCGGGTCGAGCACCCGTGTCTTGACCCTATTTAGGTCGAGTCGTAATTACATCCACTTTCCGACGCTTCCTGGCTGCATACTTCTGTCTTCATTTCGCCAACTCGCTCCCGGAATCCGCCTCCTCTCATCGTTTGCGCTTACAAAAATTTACGAACGTATTATCAACGACACGGGTTCGTTACTTGTTTAACCGCGTTCGTGCACTCTTGGCACAGTTATGACCCGGGAACTTTTCCTATTAAGTTTGCCCTACGTTACATGTTAATTTCATCCTCTTCGGTTAACGAATACTCGTCGCTTCTACACACAGATTTCCACGTTAAAATTGCCCTCTGACCTCGTCTTGCGTCGCATCGGAACGAAACGAATCGATCTTTCGCACTGCATATTTGATGGCGACGAGTGGGGGCTAAAATTACTCGGTATTTAGTATTCGAATATTTCAGTACTTGAGTTGTATAGTATTTTAAATATATAACAGTATAAATAATTTTTATGTTCCGTAAGCTCGGAGCTTGTAAAAAATGTATTGTCAAAACATTTGGAAATAATTCGTAAATCCCGATAGAAATTATACAAGAGAGAATATTATTATAAAAGTTGAGGACAGTTTTAGACATCTCAGGGATCGTTCGGTTATATTTTTGGTCGCGGAAAGTTTGAATAAAATCTGAATCCGATAAATCTACATCGAAAGGATTATTCCGAGAAGAATCCCTTGGAATAACGCCCAACGGTGGTCCCCGAGTCTAGTCGAGGAACCCAATAGACGACAAGCTCGCCTTCGAGAATCGATCCGTTCGTCAGCTTGCTCCACGTGGACGGGTCTGCACGATTCCCCCCATGCACGGATGCGCAATTATGCGTCGTCAATCGAAACGACGCCATCCCCGTCGCGGTCGATCGTAGGGAGCCACTTGATACACGGAATAGCAACGGAGAGCATAATTATCGTCAGACTTCCTCGCCCCCATCGATTCGTCGCGACGGAGCGACGAGGCCGCCGTTCGCGGAAACCGCCCCGACGCGTCTACGTTGAAAACACCTCGCGTCGGGGGGATTGGAGGCACCCTAAAAAGGACGGAGTTTTCCCGTAGTCCCGTGCTCCATTGACTTGGTTCGCTGAAGGACACTTGTCTGGCCCACATTCAGTCCCCCTTCCGTCGCGTGGCCCTCCATTCAGCGGTCGGTAAAGGGCGTACTCGTAGGTCTTTACGAGCACCTGCAGCCAACCCCTGCGTTCTCACTTCCGAGGTTTTACGGAAAGACTGTCCCTTGAATCGCGTTCAGCCCTTCACCGTCCGTTCTCGTATCCGTTTTGCTCGTCGGGAGCCCACGGAACAGCGTCGATCGCGTCTCGAGTGCGGAGAGAAGTTTCGAGGGATTAATGGGCGAGAGAGTTCTTCGTCGGTGTCTTCTTCTTTCCGTTCGGCGGCGTCGGCGTGCCCTGCGTCTATCGATCAGACGACGCGTCTCGTTGGAAAAAGGTACGCTCGCGAACCTAGTTTCCAGAGCGTCGTTTCGCCCCCGCCATTGGTTCGCGTTAAGCTTTTCGGTCCGCTCGAAACCTACTTTCGGCTCGACCCGCTTTTGGGCCAGCTTTCAGCCAAGTTTAAACCCAACACGATTCCAGTTTCGACCGTCCCGTGTCCGCAACAGACCTACTTTCGACGTACTCCGTAAGGTCGTTCGACCGTAGGGTTGCTTGGTATTTAGAACCATATTTTTAAGACAATTTTTAGTCCACCATTTTCCAGCACCCACAAGACTTTTTGGCGCCTAACCGGGCATGTAAGGAACGTTCCAGGTTTCCACACCCACGGCAAGCGAGCAGAAAAACTCGAGGAACGGTGAAAGATTCCCAGCAGTTTCTTCTCGTGCTCGGCATCCCGGGTTCAATTCGTTTTTAATTATACCCGAGAAGAGGTTGCCTCTGCTCGCGGCGTCTCGCAGCGTTCCTTAATTAATAGTTACACCGGGGCCGCTGTCGTTTAATAGTCGTTCAGGCTGCGTCGCCAGGCACTCGAAAGAACAGGCCCGCTGAACTTGGTCTTTCGAGGCGGCGCATCCGCGATAATTATCGAGCCACCGTTAATCGTTCCTCGCCGTCCCCCGCAGCCAGGCTGCTCCCACGACGGTTGGATCCTCGTCCGGGTAGAGAACGAGGAGACGACGACAAGGCGGTTTTTCCCAGTTACTCGACTCGCAAGGCCGTGTATTTTTAACTTGAGAACCTTCCGGCAACCCTGGCCGGGATCAATACCTCGGGCAACCCCGTCGTCGTTTACTACCGCTGGAAGCAGAAAGGGTGCAGCGGGGGTTAACCTACATATCCAGCTCCGAGCCTTCGCCGCGCAAAGGAAAACATTTTTCTTTCGGCTGGGAAAACTCTCGGCGGCGGAAGGAGGATCGTTCCGGCGAAACGCTATCCCGTACAAGGGAAAATGAGGGGAAAGTTTTCGCGCTGGTTGGACTTCCGCTTCTATTTCTTGCGGTATCGAATCCGGCGGTCCCGCGTTCCTCCGTCTCGAAAGTTTGGCTTGCGTTAAATTATAGCGGTCGGATGATTTTGTTTGTTTACCCGTAAGCTACACCGGGTAATCTCTTTAGCTTTTATCGGGCCAAGTTTCAACGGTAGAAATTATTACGCGAAATAGGATTTACATATTCCGACGACCGAAGGGAAATCGAGAATTTTTCCAATAAACTTGCGTATTCTTTTTATTTCGAGAATAGGAGATGAAATAAGATTTAATTGAATCGACGCTCGCGGCGGGTCCCAGTACAGATTTCCGGAGCTTTTCCCCCAGGGGGATTGTCTGGAATTCAAATATCAGCCACTATTTATTCCCCGACGAAGCAACAAGGTACTGGAAATATTTTCTCGCGGCGAAACCGCAGCGACGGGGGCGCGAACGAGCCACGGAACGGCCGCAAAGGGTGGGTTCGCAGTCGCGTAATTGAAAACTACCCGGCGACCGCGTTGTCTACTGCGATATTCGGGCAAAAAGGCAACGAGGTGAAACCGGTGGCCGGAAAAAAGGGCAGCGCCCGTACGTCCTCTCGTATCCAGTTACAAAATGGCTGCTGATCCGGAGGACTCCTTGGGAGCTTACGCTCCCTTTGCCGCCCTTCGTCTGGCCGTTTCTCGGAAGATCACGATTGGAAGAAAAAAAAAAGAAGGAGAAACAGGACCGCGACGGAATTGAGTTCCGGAGACGGGCATACCCGGAGAGCCTCGACGGTCGTCTAGGAATCCTCGATGCTGGAAAAGGAGAAAGAACGCGGACGGTATTGGCGGCGGAGTGTGACGGATGAAAGGAAGCCCTGAAAGAAGGTGGAGTTTAAGAGCATGGAAAAGAAAATGGCGAGAGACAGTGGAAAAAGGAGAAACAAGGGGTTTGGTGGAAAGAGCCGCGGAGAGAGGACGGATCGAAGGAGGAAAAGTAAAGAAAAGCCTTTCCCTCTCGATGTCATTCGGGTTCAGAGAGCAACTTCCGCAATTGCGACGGGATGCCTCTGTATAAGATGGCCACTCGACGGCACTAAGGGCCAATCCCTTTTATTGCCGTTCGTTTCACGGTAATCGCGTGAGTAGCTGAATATTCGTTGCCCGATTCGCGACCGTGGATTCAGTGAAACGCGTTTTGAATTGGCCCAGAAGCTCGAGGACCGTTTTATCCTTCGACGAGGCTTTCAAGAGACTTTTTATCCACTTGCTCGGTCGGAAATAAGGATCTTACGAAAGTTACAGCCAACGGGCGCCCGAGTGGATCTGTTCCGATCAAGTGGTTCTCTTTCATCGAGACACGCGTGCAGGTTCCACGATGTTCGAACAATTTATTAATATTCGAATGCTTCCTGGCGGCGCGACATTAATAACGAAGGATGTCAGGAATGGTTGCAGGCGTATGGTAGGATTCAATGATTCGAACACTTTAAATTTAACGATATAAACTATTTTATTTAATATTGCGATAAATTATTTGATACAAAGTACATGAAAGACCAAAGTTCGATGCAGAGTGTCTCACTGAGGTCGAAGTCCAACCCTCTCGACTCGTATCTACACCTCCTTCGTTCATCGATACCCATTTGATCTTTGCCTCAACACTTCCATCGTCGACACCAACGATAACGTTTCCTTCTCGTGTCAACGTCCCTTGGCTAAAACGTATACACTAATATAAGTTTCTTTCAATTAGTAAATTCAATATTTATTTTTCACAATTTTGTATATTCACATTCGTGTTTCTCGAACTTTAAATTGACGAAACTATGATCGAGATAAACAGACGACAATCTGTACTTGTGTTGCGCGTAATCGATCTCCAAATGACCAACGAAATAAACCACGGAGGACCCCGAGGGTTCGGATAAGAGCTCTTTGTCGAAGAGCGCTGGAAGCCCGAGGGAGCATTATACCGTGCGAATACGTCGAAAACGATTGGCTCTCGTTCGACTTCTTCGGGAGGGGCGGGTGAAACCCGAAGGCGACACCCCGAGTAACCGGAAGCGGCGTTCCGTTTCAATGCGCGATCGTGAAAAGAGCCGATAACACGGGCTCCGAGTAAAAGCAAATGCCTTTCGAAGATACTGGGAGTCTTTTAATGTGATTTTGCACTTGCAGAAAGCCTCGGCTCAATAACGATAGGGCTTCTTTGTGGGAGACTCGCATACGTTTATCCGTGGCTGCTTTCCCTCGTGCGGCATTTCGGTTTCGGAATCTTCTACGAACCGTATCTCCGACTATACTTTGAATATTATTGGTATCCAGGATCTAACGAGGGTCGCGTCGCTTCTTGTTGCAGATTCACAAATTCGAGCAAGCGTCAGCGTGAGTCCCTGGCGAACGTTTCCAGTTACTGTCGGCCCCAAGTAGCCGTATCCTCGAGAACCAGCCGGCGTTCGTAGCAAGACGGCCAATCGTGCGAACGTCCTCGGTAATATTCCGCGGCTGCCACGACCAGCAACAGCCCGAAGATTCTCCCAGCAAAGGCCAAAATGCACATCGAGGTGCAGGTGGCGCTCAACTTCGTGATATCGTACCTTTACAACAAGCTGCCTCGCAGGCGGGTGAACATCTTCGGCGAGGAGCTCGAGAAAGCGCTCAAGGACAAGTTCAAGGGTCACTGGTACCCTGAGAAACCGTTCAAGGGATCGGCGTTCAGATACTTGAAGACCGGGGACCCCGTGGACCCGGTGTTGGAGCGTGCCGCGAAGGAGAGCGGCGTACCCATCCAGGACGTCCTGGAGAACCTTCCATCCGAGCTCGCCGTCTGGGTGGACCCTGGCGAGGTCAGCTACCGCATCGGCGAGATGAACGCCGTGAAGATCCTCTACTCTGAGAGCGGCGATCCCCACGACGAGAGCTCCGCCGACCGCGAGGTGACCAAGACCTTCAACCCCGAGGCTCAGTGCTTCAGGCCCATCGAGGCCGTGGGCACATCGCTGGGCGGTCTCAGCCTCAGCCCCAAGTCCACGTCCCCGTTCCCCAGCTCGCTGGGCAGCAACGCGAGCAACGGCTCCTCGAACAACCAGCAGAGCGGCCATGGATCCGGTTCCTCGTCGGCGCCATCGCCGACGCCCATCAGCAACTCGTTCAAGCGTTCGCCTAGTCCTGTCACAGTCTTCATACCGCGCACCACTGCGCCGCTCACTTTTACCACCGCCACCTTCGCTCAGACCAAGTTCGGCAGCACCAAGCTGAAGACCAGCAGCAAACGCGCCAACAGGTTCGTAATAGAGATACGCGGTTGCGTAAGGTCCTCCGTAAGGGTATCGTGCGCTCGAGCAACGGGTTACCAGCACACCGGGCACGACGCACAGTGGCTCATTTAGCCGAAAACTTGGCCAAAATGCAATTTTTTAAGTATTAGCGACCTTGAAACAAATCTAAAGACGCCTTCATACTTTGGCCAGCTTCTCGACAAAATAAGCCATTGTGCGACGTTCGTAAATAATTGCTGGTCTACGTCGCATCGAGCAATCGTGGGTGTTTTTGCTCGCCAACGAGAATCGCGATTCAACGGGAAGGGATCGATTTACCTGACAGAACCTTTCGGTGGCTACGCGATAGGTCTGCTTTTGGGGACACCAAATATTGTTGAGTGTCAGGTTTCAAAGTGACACATTTCATTAAGTATCCCATGCGTGTCCATGTCACGGAAAAGGTATGTCAGGTAAATGCAACGCTTTGTCTTCTAACCGCCAACTACCCGAGAGCCAAAAGCTATCGAGCAGACAGATGAACCGCACGTAACCGTCTTGCTTTCAGAATGTCCCCCACCGAGTTCTCGAACTACATAAAGCAGCGCGCCATGCAGCAACAGATCCACCATCACCACCACCATCAGCAGCACCAGCAGCAGCAGCAGCAACAGCAACAGCAGCAACAGCAGCAGCAGGCGGCACCCGGCGGTTTGCCGGTATCGCGGAGTTCCCCGCGCAGTCGCAGCCAGTCGCCCGGAAGCATAGTCGCGGGCGCTGGTCAACAGCACACGGATCCCAGCGCGTATTTCTTCCAGCACGGGCCGGCAACCTATCATCCCCAGTTCCCACACCGCAACATCTTCGACTCGTCGAGCCACGGCGGCTACCTGTCCGCCGATCTCTACACGGGCGCGAACTTCCCGTCGTCGTATCTCGATCCAGCGACGGTCGCTGGCCACCAGTTCTACGGGGGCAGCGTGAACGGGAACAGCAACGCGGGAGCCAGCAACGGGAACTCCCACAGCGCCGGGAACCTCGGCCCGGTGGGTTCTGCCACGACGAACAGCAACGTGAACGGCACCGCTCAGCAACAAGACAAGACCGCGCTGGTCGACGGTCTGAACAACTTCGGCCTGGGCTCCGTGGCGTCGTACTCGGCCAGCCAGTACCAGCAGCATCTCCTCGTGGCCAACTAAATTGTGTCCGGCACGGGTCGAAGCCGAGCGAGGAGGAAACTTTGCTGAGAGGAGAGGAACAGGAGGAACAAGAGAGACGGAAAAACCGCCTTTCCGGTCTCTCCAACGTCGAGACGTCGTCCAAAGTCTAGGTTCCGTACCCTGACACACCCGATCCGCTTGCACCATCCGATGGCTTCTCGCCTAGAGGAGGCCGTCGTCGAACTCCTGCTCACCCTAGTTCCAGCTCTGTCTCTCTCCAGAGGATATCCAAACGGTGTAGCTCCAATCACACACACACATCCCCGCACGTTTGATAATCGACGTCATCTCGGCTAACGGCGACTCCTGATTTCTCGTTCGATCTGTCTCGTCGGGGGAGGATTCGCTCGGTGGGTCGCGCGGTCGCTGGGGGCAGGCTGCTGATCCAAACTGGAGAACCGGAAGATCGGGACGGTCGGCAACCTGCGGCCACGACGGTGAACGAAGAGATTCGCGAGAGAGGGAGTGAGAGAGAAAGAGAGAAAGAGTGAGAGCGTTAAGAACGCGTACACGGACTGTGTGCCGAACCGGAAGCGTGCGTGCAAGACGTTTTGACGAGATCAGAAGGAGGAGGAACTTGGACGCGACGGGGACTCGTGGGGAACGTGAACGCGCGATCGACTTAAACGTAGAGCTTCGCGTACAGTAACGTTCTTTGTATCAACCGTATAATAACGGACCCGATCGCGATACGCCGCCATGGCGTCCCGGTTCGAATGGCTGCTCCTGTGGCTACCCTTGGATCAGCCACTCGAGACGACCCGTATCTCGGGGTCATTCATGGTTTCGGTCCAGAAAGAATCGTACGACGCGCGCCCACGCCTGGGACAGCGAAAAGGCCAAGAGACACAAACACTCGGACACACACGACACGGACGCAGACACACGTACACGACATGGATTGACACGCAGAGACATTCACCGTATACCTGGCGACGAACACATATAATTATACGATACGTACACACACCCCTCGTGGGCCAACGATCATCGGGGACACCAGAGGGGACCGGAGGAGTGAAACACTTTCGCGCACGACTTCACCAACACGTACACAGATATTACCAACGTGTAATAATTTATTTTTTCACTGGTATAGTCGGAGAATTGATAATGAATATATCTGTAGAGCCTATGTATTATATTCAAGAATAATGCACTCACTTCACGGGTTCTCGCGAAACGGTAGGAACTACTTGTGAACCCGAGCTACAGAAGCGTCGACGAACCGACCATTCGTACTCTAGAGCGTTCGCGACGAGAGAGAAAGAGAGAGAGAGAGAGAGAGAGAGAGAGAGAGAGAGAGAGAGAGAGAGAGAGAGAGAGAGAGTGAGTGAAAGAGGCGACTCGTTCCCTTGGAACCATCAGCGAACAGACCAGGACCAGCGGAGACGAACGAACAACGTCTTTCTTGAACGATCGAGGGGGTTCCGAGAGTGGACGATACGCGGTCACAGCTTCTTCGAACCCCCGGGTGATTTCTTTGTCGATCGAATCGCAGACGATACACGCAGTTCCATACCGTTTGGAAAACTCGTCCTCGGTACGATTTTACATTTTATTTTTATAATAAATGCAGTAGAGCGTAGGGGAGAATACAAGGGGGAGGAGGGAGTAGAAAGGAAATGAGAATGGCGGCGTGTTCGTAGGAACGGGAACGGGCTGCGTTGCGGGGTCCTCCGAACCAGGGACGAGCAAAATTTCATCAAAAATTGCTGGGAATTGATACAACGCGGTCCCCGATTTCTAAAAAAAAATCGATGGCTCAGTTATCGACACGGTTTTTGACAATAGACCCTTCGAACGACAATAGAAAATTCCGTGCATTATTTTCTGCCCGCATTGTAACATTTTGTGGAAAACACTGTCATTCGCGTAATAAAAACAGTAGTTTGTTTTATAGTTGAAATTGTTAAGGAGTAAGCCACTAACGTACAAATTTCACAGTATAACGATAAACGTAAGGACTGCTTTTTTATACATTTACCTGCAAAATTAATGTCCAAAGTTTACGATGTTGCCAACGATCCTTTACCGAAAGGACCTTTACAATTGCTGATGTAAAATGTCGATGACTGGGTAGGCGTCGAGATCAGGATGAGATTCATCTTCCGTTCGTCCGGATGAGAATTTTGCCCATCTTTGGCGGGGAGTTAATCTCTGGCTGGACGTTTCCTTTCGACGCTGGTCCACGTAGCGTCGCGACGACTCCCGAGTACACTAGCTATCGGACGACGCACCCTCGGCTCGTCCAAGTTCGCGACACCAGGCGAGGGTGGAAGTTGTCGAACTTTCCTAATTCCCGTGCTATCGAACGAGCTCTTCGGTTTCTTGCTGGTTCATCGATCCCTGGGCACGGTCGAGGCTGCATGTCCGAAGTTCAGAGTCGTTTCTTCCGCGCACACACAGACACACACACGAACACACACAGGATTGCCACGCGATCGTGGGAACCACGTTCACTGGCGAGTCGCGGAGAATGTCTCGGGCTATCGGAACCGTCGCAAAATCATTTCCCCGTCGTTCGCAACTCGATATCGCGCGAAGTAAGTTTCTGGAGCAAAATGACGGATTTCTCTCGCGCCGTGAACGTCGCTCAGGGGCATTCTTTGCGGCTCCGCGCGGTACAAAGGACGAGGAGCGTCGAAGAGAAACGGGGGCGTCACGGTTAGCCGCGAGGAGCCCACAACCAGCCGGTCTGCGTTCGCGAGTATAATTAGGTGATTACGTTATTAAAGACCGCCGTCACTGTCCTCGACGGCCAGAACACGACCGCGCCGCTGACCCAAAGACGTATCGAGATTGTTGCTCGAGAGGTCGATAGGACCAGATTTCCATGTGAACGGTCGTCGAGCTGTCTCCTGGTCGAGTGTTACTTTCAATTCTATTGGATTGCTTTCTCCGCGACAGTATGGGGCACGGGTCCCTTTTACTCGTGCGTTTAAATTTGATTTAACAAACACTCGGATCCATCAGTCTTTTCTCCAGTCTGACGGTAAACGGAACATTTATTCACGACGAGGACGTCCTCGTAATCGAAATTGCCTCTTACACGATTCTTTTACCCGAGAGTCTTTGTTCCCTGTTCTCAGAATTAAAAAAAACGCGGACGTAAAAGGGGCTGCCCCAGCCTCGATTTCCAGCTCGACGACCAGCAACGATCGTCCTGGGTCTCCGGCGAACGATCGAAAGATCGGGTGAGCTGTCCGTCAAGCGGAGGACGGGGGGCGGAGGTGCCGTGAGCCGCGGGCCGGGCACTAGGTGCTAAAAGTATTAACAAAAAAAAAAGTGTTTAATCTTGTCGTCGTGGGACAAACGTACGGAATGCGCGCGGCCTTGGAGACTGTCGACGAGCTCGCGCGTAGAAAAATAAAAAAAAATATAATGGCAGGGTTCCTTCGCGTCGCTCGATCCGCTCGATCCAAACGCGCGCGTCCACTCTCCTTAGAACTAGTTTCTAACCGTTAGCGTGACTTCGTATCGTGTAAGTGTTGTAGCATAATTTTAGGCGTGACCGTTAATCGTTCTTTCGTACGAATTTTTATATAGCCCGTTTTGTATATGATCGACGCCGCACACAGGGCAGCTTCCGTACTGCTGGGCCGCGATCGACCGATGCCGGGTCGCGGTCGTTCGCGCGACGGATCGAGGCACAAGGGATCGACGCGTCGTCCAGATCCTCGCGATCGAGGCTGACCTGGAAGGATCGTGTGTTCAATTCGATAACCACGGAGCCGCGCGCCGCTGGAAACCTCGATTCGGAGCAACCCGACGGGAGGGAACGACAAACGTTTCGTCGAAGGGTGTTTCCGATCCAGCGTCGCGGCCGGCTCTCGCCGTTTAGGATCTATCCGATCGGTACGCTGTTAGACAAATTATTAGGCGACAATTGACGAGCACCGTGAGCGCAGAAGCATCGAGACGGCGAGCGAGTCGGCAGGACGGGTCTCCAGTCGCGCGGGGGGTGCTAACACAAGTTTTTAACTGCGGAACTAATAAGGGTAGACAGGGGCGAGAGACACGGGAATTAGAGGCGCGAGGGGACGAGGCGGGAGGACAGTACCCTTTAGTAATATCTAAACTTAATTGTAACTATTAACGATACGTACGACTGTGGTAGCTATGCTAGTACCTGCTATTGTTAAAGAGAGAAAGAAAGAAGAGAGGCGAGAGGGGGATGAAGTCGATGAAGTGTGACGGTAATCGCGACTTTAAGGGGGTGGCATATACGATGTCCATCGGTGGGATCGGTAGGATGAATATTCGGCGGTGAATCGTGCTTACTATTCGTCGCGATTAGGGTCGTTTTCCCGCTGATAGACGGTGGACGCTCGACGGGGTTGAGGATATCGGATGAGAGAGAGAGAGAGAGAGAGAGAGATAGCTCCTGGTAACCGATTATTTTTCTAATCTTTGTAATCGAACGGAACGGGATCCCCGTATTCGACCGGAAGGGAGATCCCCGGAGACGATCTCTATCGACGTCGGCGTCCGCGTCGAACCGATGGACGTACAGAGGGACGACAGGGGAGGAGAGCAAGCGTTGCAATAAGTTGCGAATCAAACGGATCTCGGCTTGGGACGAGAAGCTCAGCTCAGCGAAGAATCAAACACACGATGTATACTCTTTTAAGAAAAACCAAAAAAAAAAATACGGGAGCGAGGGACGCGCGGTGAGGAAGGCACGCGACGTTGGGAGGGACGAGTCGTGAGGGCGGAGAAGGAAGGGCGCGATCCGGTCGGAGCTATACCGATAAGAGCATACATTGAGGTACACAAAAGATAAAAAAAAAAAACATATAGTATTATACGATTACAATACGATTGTAACGAACACTTTATAAGCGAAGAAACAAAAATGAAAAAAAACAAGAATTACGCATAGTTTTCCATAATCTGTAATGGATGTATTCGTTAAACAAAACTGACGAGGGGGAGTTTAAGGTTAAACGAGAAACAAAGATATAAGTCATACGATGCATACACACACGTATTACACACACACACACACACACACACACACCTTACGTACACAGAGAGATACATACGCCACGGCAGACACGTATACAAAAGTTCGAAGTAACACGGGTACACGACACAACAAGAAGTAAATGAAAAAGAACAAAAAAAAATGATGAATAAGTAAACGAAGTAACATGACGAAGTAAACAACGGTAATCTGTCTCTTTAAAGTATCATGTGTCTATAAACTATAGCGATCGATATTGTCTCTTTAACCGTAAATGGAGAAACAAGTAACCGTGGTAACGTAATAATGTCATAGCGATAACCGAACACTGCAATATTAGATATAATATATATTCATACATTTATAGAGGTGGAAGAGAGCTATGGGAAATAAAACGAAACGGGAAATGCGCGCAGCTCGAGTGCCGAAAAAATGACGGGGATACAAAAAATGAACAAATAAGAAAAAAACAGAAAAAAAAAAAAATAATGAAAAGAAACCGACACGTGGAACGATACGAGGGAAAAACGAACGTTTCAAAGCGACTCGGGCATCGTTTCGGCGTCGCTTTTTCGCTTTTCCCGCGGGGATACGATTGAAACGAACAAATAAACGCCTGGAAATGGAAAACGCGGGAAGCAGGCTGCGCGCATGCGTGTCGGATAGCGAAAGAGAACGAAATGAAACGCGCAAACGAAATAGAACCGGGCATGGTCTCCAGGTACACTTTTAAACGAAAAAAAGGCCGTTTCACGATAAAAGAAAAAAAATAGCAAAGGAAAAACAAAACGAAAACCGAATGGAAGAGAACAATATACGCGTTCTGTGTATCGGACACACACAAACACACACACATGCACACACATACCTGTCCACACTTACACGCACGCACACGACACGAAGCAACACAAAGAAAGACCCACCTATCGATTACTCTACCAAGTAATGAATTAACAAGAGGATGATAATTAGATTTGTAACTAATTACATATATATTTTTCAATACTTTAACTACTTGCTGAATGTAAACTATATACATACAATTATATATTATATATATTATATATATATTATATATACACACACGTACCGCTTAGAGCTGTACCTCGGTTGCAGCGCGACGGGGGTGTGGCTCGTCGACTTCCAACCCCCCTAGGGAGAATGAATCGCGACAAAGTAGGTTGAATCCAGCAGAAAACTTACACGAAAATCGCGGATTCGATGTCACCGCGGTCAGAGACGGACGAAATTTTATTCGAACGCTAAAAATCTTCGTACAGTGATTGATTCTCGACGATTCACTCGATCGAAGGCATGATTTAATTGTACAATTTAGATTGTCATTTTTATTGAACGAACGAACGAATCGAAAGTTCTTTCCATCTTTTGTTGCCGTGAAAATTTCGCCCGTTTCTGGTCGAGAGGGGGGGTCGTTGATCGACGAGTCCGATTCTCGATCGCGCGGCGGGGGGGCGGAGTGAACGGTGTCGCCCACCCGGGAGAGGGAGAGAAAGATCTACGCGAGAGAAAGAACCTTTTTGTACCCCACCCAAGTCACACTCTCGGTGTCGAAATGGTAAAAACAAAAACAAGCAACTATGTTACTCGTGTAAGTGCATCCTAAATGTAACTGTTACGAAAAATGCCCCTTCTCCGAAGCCCCACCCCAGGCCCCAGTCTTCATCGTTTCGTACGTAGATAGATGAGGGATGATGATGAAATAAAACGAAAGCGGCAGAGAAGCGTGAACGAGTGATCCGGGAATGCGTGATTTCACATCGGTCGAGAGATGAAAAAAAAAAAGAAACGAGAAAAAAAGGTCGGCGTGGATCGCGTTGCGTGGAAACGAAATTTCTCGGGGGCAAGATCCGCGCTAGTTCGATTCGTTTGTTCGCAAATGGGCTGGACGGGGCGCGAGCACCGCCCCTTTTCGCGATTTTCTTTCGTTCAGTTCGCCGACGATTTTCTGCTCGCCTACGTTTCGCATACCGTGTGTCGTTTTATGTCGTTGCGTGTAAACGCTTGGTGTGTGTCCGATGAAAGTGCGTGTGCGCGAATGATGAGCGAATCATTGAGAGAGAGAGAAAGAGAGAGACAGAAGATGCGCATCGGATGCGTGCGAGCGAGACAACAAAAAAGAAAAAAAAAACAGCGAGACACTGTACGCCTATATATGTATATCTGTATATAGGTCCTTTTTCACCCGCTACCGTTGTTTCCTTTATACTACTTCTTCTCCTTTTTTATCATTACTACTATTAACTGTTAGAGTATTGTAATCGAGATGTATTTTCTGTTGGCTTTAGATTTTGTTCCTTTATTTTTGTACGAGAACCGTTTTACCTAGAACCGTGTGCGTATACGCTAAGAATATATTTTTTTTTTTTTTATCTTACCGTCGATCCATGGATCCGATCGCGGATCCCGAAGATCTTTAGATGGCGCGGTCGACGCTGGTGGTCCGCGCGTCGAGACGCCACCGGACGACCGGCGACCACCGCCAGCCCCGTTAGCCTTAAGGTGACCCCATTTTAAATATTTTTTTTTTTCCTTTTGTTTTCTCTATCATTATTAATTTTTTTCTTTTTGATAGTTTGTTATTGTTGTTTTTTTTTGTATGATATTTGATTATATACCAGCGTGCATCGCGCCTCCAGATAATATAATATATACCGCTATATTATATATACATATACATATATATATATATTTTTGTTAATAATACAGTGGTTTGATGAACTACAGTGATTATCCTGTTGTAATGGATTTGTTTCTATCTCTTATGGCCCGCGAATGCGTAATTAAAGTATACATATATATAAATATATATAAAAAAAAAAGAAGGATAGAACACGTGCATATACAAATATGAATATATGTATAGACATTATACATACTTATATAAATATCGATTATATATATACATATATATGTATATATACACATATACATACACACTGCTACATTATATTTTGTTTAAAGAGGAGAAAAACAAAAAAAAAAAAAAAACAAAAAAGAAATTAAAAAAAGGACGATGGAATAGGAGGTTGCGAGGAAAGGTGTGCTCGTCGATGACGACGAAGAGCGGAGAGTGGAAAACGAGCGAGAGAGAGAGAGAGGGAGAGAGAGTAGAAAAAATATAAAAAGCGTTTCTTGAAATTTTTCGAGCGTCCGGGCCGTCCCCTCGACCCGTAAACACAAAATAAATTCGAGAGAAGAATAAAAATAACAATCGAATATATACCGAGTACGGGGAACGAAGCAAACGACGAAACAAAAAACAAAGTGTGACATGAAACTCGCGTGTAACATACTTATAATATCATTTTGTAAATTATTTTTTGTATTTTTATATATACATATATATATATATACATATATATATATCAATATCGAAGCATACGAGACAAAGCGGAACAGTGTTTGTGCGTACGAAACGGGAGAGAGAGGAGTGGAGAGCACAGAAAAAGAGAGTGAGAGAAAGAGAGGAAAACGCACGACGAAAAGTGTGAAAAGAGAATTTTTGATGCATAAATGATCAAGAAAAATCTGGCGCGACGGAAGAGTGTGAAAGACGTAGCGAGAGAGGGAAAGAAAAAGTATGCGTGCGAGAGAGAGAGAGAGAGAGAGAGAGAGAGAAAGAGAGAGAGAACACGATAATCTCGTGACGCATTGATAACACTGACGATACTTAAATCGATCGTTTATTAATTAAAATCGTCCTTTCGTTGATCGAGAGCGGCGCCAGGAAGATGCTGTTCGACCCTTAGAAAATTGAAAGAGAAACTAAACCGCGTGCGCAAAAATACGCTTGTATGCAGCCCGTTCGTGAAGGAAGCAAACATTTACACGTACACGGACACACGTACACACATACACGCCCACATATGTACGTAAACATATTGTGTTAATTCGACGCAACAGTCCCGAAATGAAATGGATTTTTGTTCCCTATTATTTGTACCTTTGTATTGTATTCTGCAGCTTGTCAGTGCTTTGTTTACTATTACTATTACTACTACTACTATTATTATTATTATTAATATTATTATCATTGCTATGAAATTTTTTAACTATTGTACTCTGCCGACCTTGTTTCGTACCACTCTATATCTTCTTTTTCGTTTTTTTTTTCCGTCTCGTTAGATTGTAACGCGTTATAGCAGCCATGTTAGCACGTAAATAACGTAGAACTCGATCGTCTCCAAAGAGTATACTCGGACGAAACCGAGCCGACTACGACAGTGGAAACCTCGCAAAAAAACGACAACCATTTTTAGTCGTATTTAGTAACCAGAAACCGTGTCGTTATTTTTAAAAATAAAATTGAATACAACGTTCGACGTTTGGTCTCTCCTCGAGGGGGTGGACAAAGCGTTTCGTAGTGACCCGTGATCCGCATCTTTTATAATTTTATAGAAAAAGAAAGACAGTCGATTCTGGGCTCGGTGCTTCAGAATCCTACACACAGTAAAAAAAAATCATTTTTTTAAAAAAACAATAGACCCGATGGTTCTTTGTTGAAAGCATTCATTCGCGGAGCAAACAGCGGTTTGGAGTTCGACCAGAAATCCAACCGACGATATTTCCGCTAGTGATGGGACTGATGCGATTAGGGTTGGTATCAATTCTCAATGGGAAACGTCTGATCCGTACGAAAACGAAACCACATACTGTGCGTGTAAATGCCATGGATCATTCCCATCACTAATTTCATAATCGGTGATCGTCACCTCCTCGACGACGGGGTCGATCGATCTAACGTGCACACGTGTCGCGTCGAAATAAGGCCCACGAGAGGGGCCTGCAGGGGGGTACATCGTCCTCAAAACCTGGGATCGGAAAGAAAGATCGAGGAAGACAGAGTATGGCTAATGGGGGAGGAAAGTGGGCCCAGAAAAGACTTTGTGCCCCCCTTGGAAATTCCTCTCAGAGGCCCTGCGTTGAAAGTAATTGAGCCCACGCGCCGTTCCGTTAGTGTTTCGCCTCCATCCTTGAGTCATGGCTTTTTTGGCTGCGGAGATCCGTCGAGAAGTTTCAAGAAAATTTCGTTTCGCGCGTAAAAGAAGCGAATGATACGGAGAGAAAGGGGGAATGATAGGCGACGAATAGAGAGAATGGACGTTTCCTGCTTGCTTGCGTGAAGTATGCGTGCGTCAGTCGGGAGGGAGCTTTTCGTTTTCTCGGTGAGGACGTTGTTTCTTATGGTTTTTCTCATGCAAGTACGGTGGGACGAGGGTGGCGCCGACCAATCTCGCTTCCTGGATCGAGTCCACGATCACGTCGTTCTTTCGATCGATCGATCGAACGTGGCTCGCGGTTCTCTCGCGACTTTGGGCAGAGTCCAATTCTCGAATTTGTCTCGCGTAAAGGGCGACGATTGTGGCGATCGAACGAAAGATCGTGACGCGATCATCGAATTTTTGTATTACATTTCAGAACGTAACGCGCGACGGAACGTTTCCAGCGTCGGTACCGAGTTCTTGAGACACTGTAATCAACGTCCATCGATCGCTTGCAGGTCGTGGCAGAATAACGTTTCTTCGATCGAAGTTTGTTTGTACGAAAATTGACCCTTTCTGTCCCGAGGATTCCATGTTGGATAAGTATACAGACGCGTTTAGAAGTATTTAGGCACGGGCGTGTGTTCCCAGTGAACTGTTTTCTGGTTCGAAGATGTTATGTACGTTGATTACTTTTAAGATCCTTTGTAGCCCCAAATTATGACAATTTAGTTGAAACGATACGCTTACCCGATCCTACATCGTATATATTCAGCTTGACGAAAATTCTAATATTCTTTTTAATTTGACATTGCATATACTGTATACTGTGGATGCCTAATACCGTTAAACGCCACTGTAACTTCCCAATGTCCCATTAAATATCATTAACGTTTGAAAATATGATAGATAACTTAAATTGTCTATATTTGTAGTGAGTCAGTAAATGCGTTACAGCGGTTGAAAACAGGATGTCGGTGAAACAATTTGCCTCGTATCACAGTGCATATATTATATAGAAAGCTAAGTCATGTATTGTATTTTTAGTTTCGAAGCGTATAAGAATGAAAAAGACAGTATATACAATTTTTAAAAGTTCTGAATTTCTTATGGTTCTCAAGTTCTCCCAAATATGTTATACGGATCGTATAATGTTTGTACTTTTTAATTACTTTTCAATAAATATTTTCCATGATCCTGCCGCACTAATATTTTTCCTTGTTGAAACGATTCGTTCGGGACAGAAATGGTTAATGCGCATACACGACAATTAAAGAACTAACTATTCGACCGATCCGCCGAAGCGGTGAATTCGAACACTGGTCGCAGAATTATTGTTTTACCCACGCTAGACAAAATTAGGCTAGACAAGCTACGAAATTTCGTGAACGATACTGGAGATGAGAAAATCGAGAACGAGTTCAGGCTCTGTCCCGGTGATCGATAGGCAATTTATAAACAAAAGGTTGGAGAGACCAACGCTGGGGCGACCACGGATTTCGAGCGATCGAGAGGATTGACAGCGACGATCGAAGGGGGAGGAGATCCAGGAGGCCGTCGGTGAGGTCAAGGGGAGGGCGCCTGGTATTAGTACACATTAGTTTCTTCGATAGGAGGCGCCCAATTAGTTGTTGGAATTCTGTAGTCTAGGCGATAATTCTCGATATAGTTCAATGTTGTCGAGTTTTTATTAGTTTAGCGAGCGAACGCGCGCGATCGTCGTCGGAAACCGGAAACGGGCAGCGAGGTGCACGGGAACGATGCTTCGAAGCGATCTCGGAGAACGATCCTCGATGGATTTAAAGCGAATTCTGTTCCATGGAGTTGTTGATACTTCTCGAGCGATAGATCGTCGTGATTGATGTAAGATGCTCGAAGATCGAAACGAAACAATCCCATTTCTCGATCTTGGTGCTCTTAATTTTTAAGTGGGAACGCTGGAGGACTTGCTAAACCATGAATTTGCTTTTTTTAAGTTCCCGTTTGGTCTATAAAGTAACTTGAATCGGAAGAAGCGTCTACTTAAGAGTTAAGAACTAAATCACTTGCACGCAAGGAAAGTGGCAGAAGAAGATATTAGAATTGTTATTAGGTCGTTTCGTGAGACTTTGGAACTTGTAGTCCAATCGATGCTTTGTTTATTACTCTAGTAGGAAAATTTCCCTTTGGTACACAATAAAAGCAGATGAAAGGAAGAAAATGTAGTCAATATTGAAATAAAAACAAATACAATTTACTCGAACTTACGGGAAGACTTATGAAACGACCGATACTTAACTAACCATTTGAAACATAGCAAATATTTTACAATTTACGTTTCCCGTTTAACTTTGCTATCTAACAGGACATTTCTGAACCGAATTTATAACATTTTCCCGGTTAATGTAACATATTTGCTACGCACGATTCCTCAATCGAATATTTCCAAGCTCTGACACCTTCCTCGCTGCAAGATATCTCGAATTTATGAGAAAATATCGGCGTTCATATTCTCGCGCGAAGTACCAAGAATGACAGGAACGTTTTCCCGATTATTTCTGGTAAACTGCATTCGAGTACCCGAACGGAGAACAGTTATCATCGAGACAGTGTAAATACTTGCTCGGGGAATCGATCGGAGCGAGTCCCGTGATCTCGTTTCGCCAGTTTTCCCAGAGAAACGACGCTCTCGCTGGATTTACATCAACCCGATAACGAATCCTCGCGAACCAACGCGCGAGTTCGCGATCATAACTCGCGCGCGTCCTTTTCTCGAGCGTCCCGACGCTTCGAGCAACGGGGCTCGATTCTGTTCAACGACCAGAAAATCGAACGACTGCCGATCCGGCAAAAGAATGATAAATGAACCGTGAAGGGAATCGTGGATCAAATGTAAATCGGTCGCCCTCGTTGGAAGCAGACTATCCTAACGTCGATGCGAGCAAAAATCTGCAAAAGATCGTGTCTATCGAGCGTATGGTCTCTCGTGCTAGTTGCAACCGAAGAAATTAATTTGTCGCTTGAAATCATTCGATTCTGTGTATATTCGATGTTTTGTTGAAGTCAACGATGCTCGAGAAAGTGTCGGAGACGAAGCGATCTAGTCTGCCAGCTAGGATCTCGTGAATTCCTCTTTAAATTCATTTGCGAAGCCTAAGCTTAATATTTAGATTTTTACATAACTTTGAAAGTAATAATTCTGTGTTGGAAATAATTTTATCGAAGAATTTATATACTGTTAGAGGCAAGTGAATAAAAAAACATTTGCAACTATCTCGAGGACGCTTCCTTCCAACGAGCAGCGAGGTTTT